GACATCAGTGCACTCGCGGCCCTCCTGCGTACATCGAATGCATGGGCGACCCCCACGGCACGATAATTTTCTTATTTCTGTTCCTCTCGTTAGAGATTAGTGTTTGCGACACCAAGTCAAATAGAGGAGACAGACTGCAGCCATGGCAAGCAAACGAGATTCGGGCTCGTTTCGCTGGTTGTTGATGGTCTTGGTCGTCAGAATCCCTTGCCTCCATTATGTTCAAAAATCGGGGATTTACTCCGGTAGACTAACGTTAATGAGGTGTGCATCAAGTGGTAAGAAGTGAGCTTTAAAGTAGTGCCTCTCTAAATCATTAAGATGTTAGACATTTAACCGGCTATATCTAATAGCGGGGTTTTATCTTTGTAACCATCATAGCTTTCTGCCCTCGACGAAGGAGAGGAAGTATATTCATTTGGTCGACAAAAATCATTCCAGGCGTGATATACAAAGCGCTATCACCTAAGACTCAAGCAGTGACTCTGAGTTCAGTTTTAATCTGATGCACATAGTTCGAGATACCGGTTGCCCCGATCCTGCCAAGAGTATCCGTGAACGATGCCATCGAAGAAACGAGATAATAACAATGTTGGAAATGGCTATTAGAACATAATTGTCATACGATCCATTTTCTTCAAGAATAGCTCTAAGTGCTTCTTTCCAAGGTCCAGCTACCGATTGAATGGACTAGAAGCCAAGAATAGCATTTCTGTGGAAGTCTTAGACAGGTATCATTGATAATCATCATAAAGAAAGACACTTACGCCGCTTGTCTAGTCGACCTCTCGGTCTCTGACATTGTGTCATTGAGTCTGAAAGGGATGATGCCCATACTGAATTGGTCAGTACTCGCCCTGCTCATGCTCGAATGTACCGCAACAAAAACTTACCCTTCCTTTCCTTCCACAGTCAAGAGGTCATCCTCTGTGCCCCGACCCTTAAACTCGCTCTCGCCAACACCGCCGGGGAAGTCTGGAGCTGGTCGTCCCGAGAGCAGCGTCGCTCTTTGGTCCCGGATGTATTCCGCGTTCTTGGGAGTAAGAGCGACAGCTGGAGTGTAAAATACTGCCGCAGCATTTTTGCCACTATGCTGCGACTCAACGGCGTGGATCACATCACTGTGCCACCATACCGAGTCCCCGGGGTATACTTTCGGCATGCACACCATGGTTCGTAGCAACTCTAGATGAGGGTGGGTCTCGTCGTTTAGTTCTTGGTTGCGATGATGAGGAGAGCCTGGGAAGTTGGTGGTGTCGAAATCCAGCTCCCAGTTATCCGGGGCCAGGTAGGCTTTTCGATCCTGGAAGTCCGACTTGGGCTTTTTGGGTTTAACAAAGGACGCATGAGCAAATAGGCGGTATGTTCACGGATGAAAGGGTAGACGAGTAGAGTTCCCTCCGTGGGACCTGTCTCGGAAAGGGAGGTCCAGCCTTGCCACGAGCGGAATAAGCCTGTCTTGATTTTGAGTTAGCAATTATGAGCACTCAAATCACAATTTCATCTGTGAGCTTACACTTCCGGACCCAGGATACAAGTCATAGACTGCATCAGCTCGTTTGTCTGTCTCAGTCAGTTGAGGCTCACGTCTCGACCCTACCATAGACCTTTGCTTTACTTACCCATCTCCCATGCATCATACCCCTCCCAATTACCCATCAGAATTTTCTCAAAGACTTGACGATAAGTAGGGTCTTCCCATCTCTCGATACTTCCTCCGTCCATGTGTGGGCCCAAGGCAAATTTTGCGTCACCGGGGTTCCGAATTCGAAGGCGATCAGCATAGACAAGAGGGCTTGCAAGAGAGATTTTGCAGTCAGGAGCAGCAGTAAAGATGGACAGGAGGGCCGCTTGTGTCTTCAGCATTTGGGGGTGTGAACGTGCTTCCTGTTGGGCTTTGGACCAGCTACTCTTGGTCAGTGATACAGCATTACTTGGGGCAATAAGATAAGAAGAACATACTAGATCTCATAAACCTGTTTGTCATCTTCCGGGAATCCTTTCACTTGAGGGTTTTGCTTGATGTATCTTCTAACATCGTCAAGCCATTTCAATGCCTGTAACTATTAGCGAGAGAAGCCGAGGAGGTCTGATTACTAACCTGGTCTTCAGAAACGGTCTTACGAATGACCACAGATCCGCATTGTCTGATACGCTGGATGAGCTCGGGTGAAGGATTCTTAACGAGTTCCTGGTAGTTGGCTTCTGGAATCGTCTGGAAACTATAATCAATAAGTGATTCACAAAGCCAGGTCCAAGGTCAAACGTACGTGTTGCTGCTTCTCTTCAATCTCGTCTGCCAGTGCCGCAAGACGAGAAGTAAGTCGCGCCCAAGCTGCAACAAGAGCTTGTTGATTGGATTTATCACCAATGATCTCACTAACTCATCTATTTAGTACAGCTTGCCGGGTTGGCGCAAGATTTAACATACCGCTTCAGACCAAGGTATGTCTCTGGCAGTAACGTTTCTTTCTCCCCGGCCAGTGAAGCAAACGAGTTTCCGATCTGAGTGATATGTCAGTACTGCCTTGAAAATACTTAGATTTAGCTCTGATCCTACGCTTCCCTCTGCCTTTTCGGCACGCGGCTTGGAAGGATTCATCTTTGTGTTTGGGGATGATCGATTGACAAAGCGTTTGCACTAGCGTTATCTGTGACAATGGAGCATGATACAGCTTCCACGAGGTGCGACAGCCTACTTAAGATCACCAAACACATTGCCTTTCAAGTGAGGCCATGACACTGGTGTACTCTATATTCGGTCAAGAGTCTTCCGTCAATTGATGTGCGAAAGCCTACCATGGCGGACATCTGCTTTCCGACTAGGTGTCCTACCAATCAGAGCCTTTTTTGATAGCATCGAGTGGGAACAAACTTTCTTGCCCTTCGGCGTCCTGTCATCCGATGGTGGGGATCATGTCAAAGCCGCACTTAGATTGATGGACATCTACCGTTCGAACGACGCATTGCCTTCTTCTAGTTAAGTTTTAGTCGCGATCGTTTGTTACCCCATGGAGAACCTCAGCCACTGGGTAAGGTTAAAGTGATGGGATACTAAAGGCTCTTGTCTGAGTCAGAGCCCAATCGATAGCTTGTTCCACTTGTCCAAGCGCTTTGCCTCTGCCCCTACAAGCCAATATTTCCTACCCATCATTACACGATTGGTCGTTCCTATTATTATGTCTACGCTAGCTTCTTTCTAGGCGCCACCTACAGAATCTCAGCCTTTTAACGGAAAGGCCAACGTCTCATATATCAACGAGATCAAAGATCAAACATTTGCATTGTCGTTTAGACAGAGGTCAAGGTCTTCTAAGCTATACTAGGCAGAGGAAGACCGCTTCAAAGTTCAAGGTATAAACGCTGTTAAATCTCTACCTATCAGACTATAAGAGACCAGTGACAAATAACTCGCTGTCATTAATCTAGTCTAACTCCTTACGCCATGATACAAAGAAAAGGGCTCCGTAGGAGAGGACCTCTATCACACGCCCATCGCTCATCTCATACCCTAAACTCCAGTACTCGAACATCTATAGTTCTATTTGTCCACCACATTTTGCTTCCTCATGGCAAAGATACTGAGAAAAATGCTCCAGCCGAATCCAACACAGACGGCAACCAAAACTCGAGACCGCACAGGTACCCATAGGAAGTTGCAAATGGCCACCAGTGGCCAGATGTGCCAGCCCGCCAAGATGAGGGGCCAAAGTCTGTTGCGAATGACGTCTAATACAAGGAAAGGATGTGGTACACGGGCGATATTTGTGCAGATGAGAAAGACGCTGCCGCTGATGGCGAGGCCAATAGTCTGGTCGAGGACCAACTTGGCCAGGACGTTGCGCCATATGAGATCCGGGCTGATGTTGAACCACTTCCTAGTCCTTCCTCTGGTGTCGTCGTCCTTCTTCTCCTCAACCTGCTTGATGTCTGTCTGGATCTGTGGCAGGACCTCGTTGACTCTAATGGCGTGGCCAGTGGGGAAGCAATCTTCCAGGATGAATTGGATGATGTTGCCGACCTGAGAGCCAATGAAGCCGTAGACAGCAAACTCTATGACCTGCTGCAGATCAAAAGTCGAAACACCCGGTGTTCTAAAGTGTACGATGAGCTGGACGACCAGATTGGCCGACACTTTAATGGCCGTTGCCTGAAGGGCGAGGCGCAGATTGAGGGCGCGGACCATGGTGATGAGGCCTGGCTAACCCTGGGACTGGCGAGATCTATCACATGGGGCGTCTATGATAAATGCCCGACGAGAAAATAAATAGCGATAGCGAGTGAAGCGGGTGCAATGCAATGCAAGGCCGTTGCGATGGAGGTGAGCGAGTGGATGTTGGTTGAGGTAGAAAGATAAGGTTCCCAAGTGATTAGTGACAGGCTGGCTTGTGCAGGGTCTCCCCTGAGCGCTGACGAATGAGAACACTTGTCCCTTTTGTGGGGCCTGTAACAATTACCGGTAGTGGAGACGTGTTTTTCCCGCTGGTATTAGCCTCGTTCCTTTTACTGTTGCATCGCAGGTTTCAGGCATCAAGATTGCAGTGAATGCATGGATTTGAAACAGGTTTTGGCTTGGCACTGGACGAACATCATGACAAGTGCGTGGTTCTATCGTCTTTGCAGCTTTAAATTAGTCTCAACAGTTGTGAGGTAGAAGCCCCACCATGGTAGCTTCACCCGCTGGCAGAACAACATAAACACATGAATTGGCTGCCGCTGTAGCTTCAACCAAGAATCTTCCGTTGTTTACTTAACACAGAATGCGTACATGAAAAATACAGTTATTCGCTTCCTGAGACACGGCCTGACTTGGAATGCCAAGAGCGTTGATTATTTCCATCCCTTAAGCCACCTGCTCTTGTCCCGGGTAAGCTGACCAACATCAAAGCCTGGGTCGCAAAAATTGAATGGTGGCTACACTATTTGACAGCCACAATTCATGGGATATTGCGACAAACACCAAAAAAATGCGGATAATAGTGGAATCAAACCACCTGAGTTGGACGAACAGGGAATCGAACCCTGGACCACTCCCAATGACGAGTTCTTATGACAGAACATGCTAAGGGAGTATTATACCACTAAACCATTCGCCCGAATGGATGATGAAGATCGAAACAAAGAATACTGAGAATCTTGACCCGTAATTGCCTCGCGTTGGCTTGTTTACGACGGCACGAAATTGAGATGGGAATCTTGGTGAACAGCTGCCTCACAGTGCATCAACGCCGGGGGCCCCACTCTGCGGTCCAGTGAACGGTCGCTTCTCCTGCACAATAGCTTTCATTTTATATCATCCTCTTCAACCGTTCTGCTTCATTCTCTTTCACCGGCTTCTCTCTTCCTCCTCTTTCCTCTTTCATCCTTCATCCTCATCCTCCACCCACGCATTCCTGCGATGCGAAACCCTTGCCCAACTCTAGGTATGTTACCAAAAAGGTGAAAAATATATGAGGTAATTGAGTTGAGCTAACAAAATATGCTAGGCTTGTCAGTCAAAGATTAACCTCAAGCACCTATGCTCTAACCTTTGGCACAACTGCTCTTTGTGTCTCGATTGTTTGCCGAAACCATCTGCCTACAACCTCGCGGCTGCACAAGGTAGAGATAGGCCGGTATGTCGCCTATTCCCGTGGTTCATAACCCGAAGCTGACCCCCACAGATCATGCCGGGTTTTCCGTTCGATAAGCTCCCCAAAGAGCTGCAACTCGAAATCATCAATCTCGCTCTCCCGTCACTGATTGTTACATGCGACGCCCCCTTCAGCCACTGGTACCCCGGCACGATAAAGTTCAAAGACGGACGCAGCCTGCTACCACTCAAGCTGACTTGCCGTAGCATCTATGAAGCTGTCAGCAAGTTGCGCTATGTCGAAGCCATTGAACAAAGTCCGAGACATACACAACAGCGGGTGTTCCGCTTCAACCCAAAGAAAGATATCCTGCAACTTCGCGACATGGATCTACCGCAGATTCATCCTGGAAGCAAACAAAATTTGGACCTCCCGATCGAGAGGCTCGTATCTGTGTCATCTCGTATTCTCGAACCTCTTGGAGAGGACTCAAACAGCATGCGAGACCCTGCTTGGAAATCTTTGCCTTTTAGCACGCAGCTCAAACTCGACAAGCTTCCGCATCTCGAGGAACTCTGTATTACAACGGAAGCGATCAGCATGGACTAGTGGATCCCTAGCTTCTCATTACACCGTTTATGCTGTCGTGACAACGACTCACAGAGAAACGATTTCAGCCCAACAGGACGCATCGGCATTGTGTGACTAGCCAACACCTCCCCCGATTCTTGCTATTCCCCCCAAATGATAGACAAGCTTCTAGAAGGTGGGATAGGCGGCCGCAACTACACAGGGGGATGGCCTCTTATGGGCTTCCGATATTTCGAAGACAAGGGTGAAATCTGGTTTACTCCACTTGCATGGTACGAGGTCCGCGATTTTATGAGAGTGCCAATCTATGGGGATGGCGACAACGACGGCGACAAAGACGATTCGAGCCTCTTTGATCCCGAATGGATGTCCTTACGATGCGACGCCGAATTTGTCGCCCGCGTCTGGATCATCCGCAACGGCGAGCCCTCACCAGATGAGGCTCATCATCGTTGGGTAAAGGTCAAGGAGTGGGTTGAAGGAGACCCAGACTGGGTCTATGGGATAGAGGTGATGTGGAAGGTTGTGTGGCTTAGAGTTGAACAGCAGAGACAGGGAAAGGCGCGTTTTCAGCTTCGACTCTGACGCTTGCCATGCTGAAAAGGAGTTTCTGCATTGTTGCGCCTGGGGTCTTTCTCAAGGTGCGCAGGCTGGGACTTGATGGGCACAAAGCATTAGGTAGGGACTTACAGGTTGCAAGGATAACAAATCCTCAAAATTGGTCCTTGACTTACCTGCTCTTACCAGTCTAAGTTTTGTAAAACTCTAAAAAGCGTATTACATAACTTATACAAATGAATTTTTTTTTATTAACAAGAGCCTTAAATACCTAATATTTAATAATAATTAGACATATAAATATAGCTGATTTAAAACTTCTGGGACTTGTACCAGCACTAGTATTTATAATCCTTGCAATCTGTAGAGGCATTAGACCTTTGGAATGAAGTTGATTTCTCTTCTTACTCATCCAGTACTCGTTAAGACAACCCTTTTACTTGCTTACATAGGTATATTCTAGACTGTGCTATGTCCTTCCTGGACATAGGTAGTCACACCTGAGCCACTGACACTCTACTGGCAAAGACGCAAAAAGTCAAGTTATGTATCTTCAGCACAATATTGAGATACGGTAAAAAACATACAACAGCGGGTATTCGCTGGTCGTCACCGACCCAACTACTAATCCGTCCCTTGCGGGCTTGACTAAGGGAGAGCGGACGGGATCCCGTACTTTACCGCAGGTGTGATCGTATGTGTTTGAAGCTGGGGTGGATGGGCCCTATGTTTATGCTTACTGATGGTTTGAATGAGGCATTGAGGCCGAGATAAGGTGGTGGGTTGCATTTGAAAGGTTGCAACCCCTAAAAATGACGATTCTTCAAGTTCGGTTTCATGTCCAAATCGTCAAAACATAAATACATGGAATTCTTACTAACCATTTCGAAGAAACAGATCAAGGCCATACACCTGAAAGTCACAGTTGGTTTTTTTGTACACAATAAATGTATCATGCCCGATACCCTGAGGTCAAAACAAAAATAGTACTCTATTTTCAAGCCCAGATAATTCAGAGAGCCATACACATCACCAGAATACTTCCCATCATTCCACCCACCAAGCTTGGCGTCTTCATCCTCGAAGCCTTATCCGTCTTAGAAGCAGTGGCTGTAGAGCTAGTTGAGACAGCCGTAACCGTTTGCTTTTTGCTCCTCTGACCATCTTCTTCATCACTCTCCGCATTACTGGTCCCGGATGGTGTAAGCTCATCAGGAGGCGTAGCTTCAGTACCCTGTAAGGAGTATTTAGACCTTGTACTCTTGATTTGATCGTCGTAGTCAGACGCGGAAATGGGGACCTTGGTCGAACACGCATAGCCTTGGCTTCTCGAGTGTCTCCTGTGCAGAAAGGCCAACCTTGGCACTTAATGAGATTAAGGCCTCCTCTAACGCAGCAGTAATCTTCCCCGTTCCCGGGTTTCTGAGCTACACCAGGATAATTCGTGACGACTGGATCTGGGTTGAGAGTGATTTCATCTCCAACGATTCTGGTCTGTCCAAATATGCTTTGGATCATAGACGGACAGGCCATAGCGGATAGCAGCAAGGAGGTTGATGAGGGCATGGTTGAGGATGTGGACAACTTGGAGTTGGACTGGAAGTTGCAGTTGAACTAGAACTGGAACTGGACTGAGATTCAGGCATGGGAAACGTTTTTGCTTTCAAATACATGAGTAGAGATGATGATAGAGATAGTAGTTTGTTGATTTCTTTCCATGTCAGACAAGACATTATCGTCACTTATATAGCTTCATCTCTGAAACTGATGTTGGTTGAGGCCTCTGTAAGCGGCGCAACCGACAACCTATTCTGGATTCAAGATGCGCCGCCCCACACTCATCACCTTGATCGCGACATCAGCTCGGAGTCTGCGCCAATGAACAACAGCCTCCACTTTTATCGGGCTGAAGCATCTCATCGGTCTGCCAATTATGCATTCGAGAGATGGAATCCACCCCTCCTTCAGTAGCAAACCCCTAGGATATCCCGAGCTCGTTGCTTAAAATCTTGCCTTATAAGGCTAAGATCTTATGATTTCAAGCATATGCTTATTTCTTCGAGTGCAGCTCTGGAAGATGCGTCGTCAGCTAGTCGACCGATTTTGGTCAAATTCACGAACTGGCTGGTCCTAAGCAAAACCCCCAAGCTCAGCTGAAAATGTGCAAGTCCCGGCGACTGCCGCCCTAAAGTTTGTCATATCGAGGTCTAACCTTATTGGGCATATCAGAAGCTGACCCCTGCAACCCTGGGCTTCGAGTGGACCAAACTTAACGAATTTAGGGATGGGTTTGCGAAGGAAGAAGGATGAGAGGTGCGGTAGCGAGGAACATGACGTAGATGTCTCAGTTTCCAGATCACTGGTAAACAAATTCAGGGTCCTGAGCTGGATTTTGACTACAAATGTCCCTAAAGGATCAATGAATGATCTTTCGGGCTGTTTCGTCTCCCCGAAACTACTGAAACAAGCATCATTGAATTCTCCGACAATCCCAGATAGGTTCTCTGGTATATGATCGGCAATGCATCGAACATTGTTTCGGAACGTTCGGCACTCAGTTTCTTGATGATCATTGACTGCGCTGTTTGACGAGGTAAGCAGGTACAGCCAAATTCTGTCAATGAATACCAGCACAACTCTCCAGAGTTCAGAGCTGAAGCCAATGGCACATTAGAGTTGTTCTAGAACTTCGCCATTCGCTTGTCCAAATTCCCCAGTCGTCGCTTTTTGGCCGGCATTTGACAATTCGACATACCGGCTCCACGTCCACAAAAGCCACTCCACGTCGACCCTAACTCGATCCGTATCATGCCTTGTTAGCGTCAGATCGCTTTCCGTACGGGGTATTTCAAGACTGTGCCCCCGTCCAACCTTGACCCTGCCTGCAGCCAAGCTTTACACTCACAGCCCTACGAACCCATCTCTCGGGTCCAACCCAAGCCTTTTCCTTGGCCAATTCTTCCGATACATCGATCTCTTCTGCAACTGGCCCGCATGACTCGGCACGGGAGACGAATTAAACGATGCGGGACCTGCATTGAGCGCAAGGTTAAATGCGGTACGTTGAAGTCTTGGCGGCGTAGTGGCTCTGGAAGCTGATCTTCGTTTGGCGGCAGATGAACAGCAGCCCCATTGCCAACGGTGTAAAAATGCAGGTCTTCCCTGTTTAGGATATCATAGTCAACTAAAGTTTGTCGACGAAGGCAGCCGTTTCGCATCAACGGGCGAGTGTAGCTCGAAGGCTGTTTCAAAATCAACGTCGACAACACAATGCAACCACTCTACAACCAATAGAGTCGCTACAAAATGCGCAAAAGCTCCGAAATCACAGATACTCAACCTAGTACCGCAAAAGAATACTTTCTTTCTCCCAT